TCTTTGACTAGTTTGTATGGGTGGAATACATAGTTCCGTATTTGTTGTCCCCATTCAGCCTTGACTGCGTCCCCTCGAATCTGCTTAATCTCTGATGCGCGCTGCTCTTCAGCTATAACCAACAACTTGGCTTTCAAACGGCTTAAAGCTTTGATCTTATTCGCCAGTTGCGATCTCTCCTCTGCACCATGCTTGTTTAATTTTAAAACTTGCAATTAAAAACACATGTTTGAATTGGATGCAAACTAGAAAAGGCTCAAGTAACCCTCAAAATTTAACAAAAGCATTGGTGGACATACACAGTCCATACCAAATATTAGTGAACCTAGACATACACAGTCCATACCAAATATCAACCGGAGTCCATCTTTAACAAAAGTCCAAATACACTACATAGTACCATTCACGCAGTATTTTGATCTGTTAGATGTATGCAAATGTGCAATGCACAAAATAAATTATTGATAAAACGTTTTAACACAAACCAAGTAATCATAACTGAAAATTCAGAAAGTCACCACAAACAGTTTCAAGTTCGATTATCATATACGTGTTCCAAACAAAGAGGGCTGTAGTGATTAGCTTACTGGACATTACTGGGATCACTTTGTGCTTATAGATTAGTTTCCTAAATGACTACTTCTAGATTCTGGTCATACTGAAAGGGTTAGAGTGGGGATCAGAATTCCCAAAGAGGAACAATTAGCGGCATATATTTGAAACTTTGGTTCATTGAAGTAGATTGACACTAAATTATTTTCAAAGTATATTGTCTCCAAATATGAGTTATCTTTATCTTAGAATTTATGATGTATTTGAAACTACGAGCAGGCATATTGCCAAATGCAACATGGAAAAGTACTTTAGAAAGGTGTGTAATATATCCAGAAAAATATACTATTGGGATTAAATAATTCCCAAAGGAGCTGAACAAAATAAATAAATAAATAAATCCCAAAGGAGAAAAACGAACCTGTGCAGCGAACAGTGACACCAGTTGGAATGTGTGTAATCCGAACTGCAGTTTCAACCTTGTTGACATTCTGACCTCCCTTTCCACCTGCTCTTGAAAAACTAATATCCAGGTCCTCCTCGGGAATTTCAACATCCATAGATTCCTCTGGAAGAAGAGGCATAACCTCAACACCAGAAAAGCTTGTCTGTTTATAGATATTAAAAAATTAGAGTTTAAAAGAAAATATTATGAATATGATAATTAAAGGGAAAATAATATTAACGATTCATCAAATATCTAATAGCAAATCTGTAGAAAATGAATAAGAACTTTTTTTTATTGTATTCGTGAGGCAAGGAGGGGAGGAGTGGACATTACACTAGCATCATTGTCATTCACAAACACGGTATTTCAGCTATCTGAAATTCAGCCACCAAAATGTTGGTTATTACCTGACGAAGCCCTTTGGCATTAAAAGGTGATTGACGAACAATGCGATGCGTTCCTTTCTCCCCAGACAAATACCCATATGCATAACGACCTTCAACTTCAACAGTGGCAGACTTAATTCCAGCTTCTTCTCCGGGGGATTTCTCAATCACTCTGGTCTTGTATCTTTGTTTCTCACTCCATCTCATGTACATTCTAAGAAGCATGTCTGCCCAATCCTGTTCTGGAGATGATAAATTTTGTACAGAAGTTAAAGCTGAATAGGCAGAATCGCCATTAAGTACTCAAATTTCAAAATATGATACAAATAAAAAAAGGAACTGGAAAGATGGATACGTTGGTTTCATCATCTCACACTAGACAGGGCAAATATCCTGTAAGCTGGGATGGAAATAAAATCAGTAAAATAGGCCCCACATATAACTACTTTTTCTAAACGGTGGAATTTTACTTCCGTAACAAACCCACGCCCCATATATTGGGAGATCGACTGTCCGGATTTATTGCATGTGATATGACTGTTAATAATCAATACTTGGTAGTATAGATCAACAAATAATGCCAAAAGGCGGGAAAGGTTAAATGTGTTGAGACATATAGGTAGTATTCTAAAGTCATAACTCAACAGCAGGACAAGGAAAAAGACAAATTGTAGCTTTTCTGGGCATTCAAGTTCTGACATTCTACCAGTACAATCTATCAGACTAAAATGTTTTCTTTTCACCTTGAACTAGGAATGGCAGAAACAAGTTCATTACTATATCTGAATAAAGATAGCTATTTACCTGGGCATCAGTACCACCAGCACCTGCTGTAATAGAGATAACAGCGCCTTCTTTATCATAAGGACCAGAGAGAAGTTGAGTCAGCTCATATCGATCTAGTGATTTATTCAGTTCTTTAATAAGATTGGTGGCCTCATCAAAAAGTCCTCTATCAATGGATTCCATTTCCTCAGTCAGCATAACTATTGTTTCTGCATCCTCAACCTACATTCATTGTGACGAAGATCCATATTGGCACATAGCTTAATTTGCATTAGAGTAGAAGTGGGAACAATATGAGCCCGCAGAGAGAAACGAAAGATTTAGGCATACACCATACATATATCATGATCCAGCCCTCTTTAAAAGCCAAGTCTACAGATGGGATGATTTCCTTTTCCCCAGTCTGCTAGTCGATTAGTTCCTTTCGGTTTTGATGTTCTTTTACCACTAAGTTTTCTTTAATTTCCTTTATATAACTATTGAATAAAATATAATAATTTTATCAAATGTTATACCAATTTGAACACTAAATGTTTAAGTTTCTTGGCATGATGGAAGGACTTCGCATTGAATGGCTCTGAATAAACTTTCAGGTCAGGTCAAGCTTTTATATTTTCAAAAAAGCCCCAGTCAACCCCTCCTAAGATGTGTAACAAGTCCGGCTTAAACCAATGTCTTGAAGATAGGACCTGTTTAGGCAACTGCATAGTTTAGTCTAGTCTAGCTTTCTAGCTACTCCCATCCTATTACAGTAAATATAATAAACATATTTAGCACATATGGCCAACATACGGGACAAAAAACCTAACAACTTTTATAATAAGTTCATCACTGAAACCATCGGATCAATCTGAATGAAACCCGTGAACAAATCTATTTTTAAAATTTGCCATTTTCTTTTAAATGAAGGAATTAGAGAATAGATTATAAAAAATAAGGGCAAGAAAGAATAATTGGGAGATTTAAAGAAAGGGTCAGGGACAATTTTTGTGCATCACTTAGAAAAATAGATCAATCCTTTTCCTTTCAAAAGAAGAGGCACCCAAAATGCAGGTACACAAACAACATTTAAATATTCTAATTTATTTTTACAATTGTAAACGTAAATTCATTTTAATTAGTAATGTAAAAATAATTTTAGAGAAGAGCGTGGTTGTAACACCCTGAATTAGGCGTTACAATTTTTGTTCCATAAAATACATATATAATTTTTTTTTTACCACCAACAAAATATTACGTTATTTATTACAGCACAAGTCTTCTGAAAATAAAATTCCATACAGTTCATAAACTTCTGAAATTTAAAATTTCACACAGTTCGAAAATTCAAACGTAGATTTATTTTAGAAATTCCCCATGTCTCCTTTTTCCCACAAATCTCTCATCTTCTAAGCAAGTCAGGAACCATATGCTAATTCATCTAAAATAGTTTATGCTCCCGTATAATATCACACATTATACGTTCATTGCATTCACATACACAAACACAAACAGTAGGGTGAGCTAAACAAATCAAGAAATATACATTATCCACAATCCTACTAATATCACAAGTGTGGCAATCAGTCCAATACATGCATCTCGAACATACTCAAGAACAGACTATTACATTGATACTATATAATATTTCTCAAGTCAGAACTATCAGTATATTTACTAGAGTCAATGCAACATATTATTAACCTGCCTACTTAAGCAAAGCAGTCAACAATCCTTCTGTCTACTTACCAAATGTGATACTGACTACTTATCAAAGTAATCTAACGAGGTGATCTACTTACCAAAGTAGTACAACAAGGTGATATTGTCTACTTACCAAAGTAGCACAATAAGGTGATATCGTCTACTTACCAAAGTAGTACAATAAGATGATATTGTCTACTTACCAAAGTAGCACAATAAGGTAATATTCCGCCTACTTACCAAAGTAGTATGGTTTATGTCAAATTAATCTCTCATTATCTCACCTACTTACCAAAGTAGCGTCCGACTTCAAACATCTTCCCTCCCGACTTACCAAAGTCGTAGGAAAATAAATAAATTTCGAATTTACAATTATGACAATAATTCTTATACTATCCATCAAATTTTACCATAAACTTATTTACAATTCATGATTTAACTCAAATAATTATTACCAACTCAGTAATATTCAATATAATTNCAAATATATTATATTCAAGATGAAAATATAAGATTAGTTCAAGTAAACATTTTACTATTATGTGAAACCAATCACATTCATATTGTAACTACATGAAATCAATCGTATAGTTACAAAATGTTTAACATACTAATACTTATATTACATATTTTGTATTTGTGGAATCAACTACATTTATATGAATGAAACTCTGATACAAATATAAGTATCAATAAATCTTCAACATTTTTAGGAGTAATTATGCCCCTCTAATTAAAACTCACATACTTGTCTATATTATAAACCACTAACAACAATTGATCAAATATTCATTACACATTTTTAACTAATTTCGAATATCATAAATTATTACAAAAATTGGTCACTTGCACCTAATTAGCTGTAACAAAAAAGACTTCATTGAAATACTTATTTTCCTAACTTCAAATATTTCCCAATTCACCTCTTTCAATTACAACTAAATTATTTTTCTTGCAACATCTTTATCTTTCATTTGTGTTTTTCTCAAAGGTTTGACTACCATTTTATATTTCTCATAACCCATATCATCAACACACCCAAAAATCCAAATTTTCACCATTATAAACTTAAGTCGTGCTATTATATCTCATAAAGTAAATTTTCTACTATTATTGAACTCTAATACACAAATATCCATTTTTTGACAAACCAAATAAGCAGTGAAGAGTGTGAAGCAGTGTCTTATCTGGTTGTTCCCTTCCTTACCTTTCGAGCTCGATAGCCATGGAGGTTGTTTCTCAGCCTCTGTGCACCATTCTATTCGCCACGCGCAAACGCTCTCTTCTCATTCCAAAACAAATCCCCAATCCTTCTAAGCACTTCCCCTTCTTATCTTTTCGCGCCACCATTCTCTCCTCTTCGCGTGTTTCTCTACCGTCTCGTAATTTCATTTTCTTTTCCGCCATTTTTTCACTATTCATTTTCTTCTCCTCCTATTTACTTTCTTTGTTTATTCAATTTATTTTCACATTTTATAATATTCCGATCTCTGAATTAGTATACATTCTTGTGTTTGTGGATTTTGTGGCAGTTCTGTTCGCGGCGCCGGAGAACCAGTTGAGTGTCGGTGAAGGAGAGAACACCGATGCCAGTGAATGGGCTCTGCAAGGTACTTTACCTGCGTCTTCAGTCAAAAATATAAGTTCTTTTTATTTTTTTTATCTTATTTTAGTTTAACCTTTTAGTAAGTGTTTTGAATTCAAAAGTTTAAATTAACTTATGTATAAACTAATTTGTAAAAACTCTCGCATAATTTCTCTAAGATAACATCTGCCATATATTTTTCTAGAAGTGCTAATCTGGCTGTTAACTTTATTAGTTATCGTGATTTCACATAAATGTTATAGGCAATTGTTATAGGCAAATGAATTGGGAATTCAAGTACGAGGCTAAGTCGATGTTGAGGTAAAGATGAACAACTGAACATGATGACCGGCTCACATGAGAATCAAATAGGAGAAGAATCTTATGATTTCTTGTATCAAAAGTCTTGACAGAGGTTTCACATAAGCGTGTCTTGTTGTTTGATAAAACAGGTCTAAAGTTTGGGTTGAAGGGGATGTGTTAAGGTTTTGGATTTAAAGTGTATGTAGACGTGACTTTATTGTTGTTGAATCTCCCTAATGGATCCCTTCGAAAAATCAATCAAAATGTCTATGTTTGGTTTAACGTCAACAAATTGATGCATCCAGAATTGATTTTGAGTTGGAAAATGTTCGGTCAGCTGTTGTGTTGGATAAAATTTTTGTCTTGAGCTGTACTACTATATTGTCTTTAAATTAAAACATTCAAACGTAAATCACATCAATTGAGAATTAATCTTCACGACCAAAATCAATCTCATTCAAAATAAATTTTGCAAACCGAGCATTGGATTTGAGGTGACATGATGTTACTATAGCGTATTTTTTTTCACGTCAATGGCCATGTAGCGTTCCTCTAGAAGCTATAAACTATTGCTTTAACTAAATGAAAATTTGATGTGGTTTCATTTCTGTATGTGCATATTGGATAAACACACTCAGTGTTTATAGTACGGCTAACATGGCTTCGGCATTTATCTCTTTCCAATTATAAACCAAGCCCCCTGTGTGACAAGTTCAATTGTTTTGTTCTATTAACTTGTAGTTGAGTGGAAGGGGTTCCTTGGATTTTTAGTATTCAATTACTGGGAGTCGGAAGCCTTTTAATTAAAGGAATGCCAACACAAAAAGACCACTTTTGAACCTTGGATGTTTATTATTTTCAATTTTCCAAATTGATGCAATCTAAGATATAGTTTGTAACTAAATAAGTAGATTTGCATATTATCCTGTGAACTTCTTTAGATATAAGGCGCTTGAAATTTTCTTCTTTCCCTCTTGCTGTTTCATGATCATAATCATATAATTCATAATAGTTCATGAATGGTTTAATCAGAGGAAACTTGCTAACAATTATGGATTTGTTGCTGCCATAAAGTAGCACATAACTTGGTGTTATTTTTGCAGATTTTTACTCCCTGAGGAGGGATGTTGAAATTATGTTGCAACGTGTTGAAGAGATTAGAGAGTCTTCTGGTCTACAACTATTGGAGCAAGAACTTGCCAATTTGGAGGAGCAAGCAGCAGATATCTCTTTCTGGGACAATCGGGCCAAAGCTCAAAACATTCTTTCGACCTTGGCTGATGTCAAAGAGAAGATAAAATTACTCAATGATTTTAAAACCCAGGTTAGATTTACTTATATTGATTCTCAACAATTATTTTAGGAAGGACCAGCATGTCCTTTCTAAAAGTCCTGGCTGAATGGGGAACCCCAAGGTTTAGTGGGAATGCATTTGGTGATATGAGTAGCCAAATCAATCTCTTTAAGCTATCATTCAACTGTATAGTCCCATACCTGTACAGTCTCTAGATCCCTCTCATTTCGGTGTATGTTCGATTCATCCGGCAACTTACAGAGAGTATTGACTGCCCCCACACATCACCACGAGGCTTTCCAATGTGCGCTTAACCATGGAGTTCTTATGAGTTAGGCTACCGAAAAGCAAATGCATTTGGTGATATGAGTAGCCAAATCAATCCCTTTAAGCTATCCTTCAACTGTATAGTCCCATACCTATACAGTCTCTAGATCCCTCTCATTCCGGTGTATGTTCGATTCATCCATGTGTCCCTTCCACTCGAGGTCTGCCAGGAGCCGTTCCTTGTCTGTGCCCCTTGCACCTCATGTCTCTTGCACCTCATGTCTCTTGCACCGGCGATCACTCCCCGCCTTCGTCAGTGTCCGGGTGTCACATGCCCACCAGCTTCCGCATGGTTCGTCCTCGAACCACACCGTACTGGGAGAGGCTAGGCTCTGATACCACTTTCATGATCATAACAAGAAAGGATTAGCTCCCCTACCTCTTCTCCTTGCAAGCAATTCTTCACTATTGATACTCCTAGACCACCACCTTTGCTTGTTTTCACTCTCAAATTCAAAGAAAATTCTAACTTAAATCCCTCTTCTCTTCTCCTCCTCTCTTTTGGCCTTAATAAGCTTATATCAAGAGAATGAAGCCTCTTGGAAGATGCTTGCAGTAATACCATGGAAAGAAAAAAACAAACAAATGAAAGGGATGGGTCCCCTTAACCAAAACATGCACCCATGTTTCACGGGAGACAAAACATCAACCTCCATGCTTCAATATTATCTTCTTATTTTCTATATTAGTATTAATTTTTTTTTTATTATAAATTTATAATTATGTCCCTCCTTTTAACTAAAGATTGCCAACACAAATTGCATCAAACTCAAATAATTAATACAAGAAAAATCAAGCTAAACAAAATGGTAAAAAAATACAAACAATAGTCTTTATCTTACATATGCATAATATGTTTGAAACTAATTACACTAACCAAAAATTTATTTATTTATTATTATTATTTTTTCCGTACTTTCTACATACTAATGCACACCATAATTAATTATTCAAAACCACAACATACATAAAATTACTTTTATTTTTTTATAGGTCTTAACCCACAGGTCCCTGGATCGAAACCAGGCTCTGATACCATTACAATGTTTGGTATCAGAGCAATGGTTTTCGAAAATCTTTTGGGGCTTTTGGGAAGTGAGCTCGTTAACTTGTGTTGTGTGATTTTGTGATTTGTTGTGATGATTATGTAGCTCTTTTGGAGAGCACTGGTTTGAAAGGTAGAGATATGCATTGTTTTGACTTGTGTTTGAATTACTTTCTTTTGACATATATGGTAGAACATGGCACGTCGATCTAACAATGTTGGTCAAACACCTCCAATTGATGATTTTAATCGGGCTGTTGATCGGATGATCAACGCAATGGAGAGGCAGCATACCACTCAGGAACCAAGGAATTATTCGAGGCTGAATGACTTTTTGAGGCACGACCCAACAAGGTTCAATGGAAGGGCTACGCCAGATAAAGCAGATGCTTGGATCAAGGACATTGAGAAGATCTTTCATGTGATCAAGTGCACAGATGAGGAAAAACTAGATTACGCAACCTTCATACTGAAAGAGGAAGCAAAGTACTGTTGGGATGGTATGAAGCGACTGATGGAATATGATGAAGAGGCTATTACTTGGAATAGTTTCAAGGACAAGTTTTTGGAAAAGTACTTCCCGACTAGTGCCAAGATCGAAAGGGAGCAAGAATTTTTGGCCATGCGTCAAAATGGGATGTCGGTGCAAGAGTACATCGATAGGTTTGAGTATCTTATCCGTTTTTATAGTCAGCACATGACGGAAGGGTGGAAGTGTCAAAGATTTGAGCAGGGTCTGAGATATGACCTGAAGAGAATGATTGTACCTCTTGAAATCAAGAAATTTCCAGCCTTAGTTGAGAAGACAAAAAAGGTGGAGTTACTGGAAATAAACCGAAACCGAGTTGACATAAAAGGTGGAGTTACTCAGAAGAACAAGTTTATTAGAGGATCCAGGGACCTGTGGGTTAAGACCTATAAAAAAATAAAAGTAATTTTATGTATGTTGTGGTTTTGAATAATTAATTATGGTGTGCATTAGTATGTAGAAAGTACGGAAAAAATAATAATAATAAATAAATAAATTTTTGGTTAGTGTAATTAGTTTCAAACATATTATGCATATGTAAGATAAAGACTATTGTTTGTATTTTTTTACCATTTTGTTTAGCTTGATTTTTCTTGTATTAATTATTTGAGTTTGATGCAATTTGTGTTGGCAATCTTTAGTTAAAAGGAGGGACATAATTATAAATTTATAATAAAAAAAAAATTAATACTAATATAGAAAATAAGAAGATAATATTGAAGCATGGAGGTTGATGTTTTGTCTCCCGTGAAACATGGGTGCATGTTTTGGTTAAGGGGACCCATCCCTTTCATTTGTTTGTTTTTTTCTTTCCATTGTATTACTGCAAGCATCTTCCAAGAGGCTTCATTCTCTTGATATAAGCTTATTAAGGCCAAAAGAGAGGAGGAGAAGAGAAGAGGGATTTAAGTTAGAATTTTCTTTGAATTTGAGAGTGAAAACAAGCAAAGGTGGTGGTCTAGGAGTATCAATAGTGAAGAATTGCTTGCAAGGAGAAGAGGTAGGGGAGCTAATCCTTTCTTGTTATGATCATGAAAGTGGTATCAGAGCCTAGCCTCTCCCAGTACGGTGTGGTTCGAGGACGAACCATGCGGAAGCTGGTGGGCATGTGACACCCGGACACTGACGAAGGCGGGGAGTGATCGCCGGTGCAAGAGACATGAGGTGCAAGAGACATGAGGTGCAAGGGGCACAGACAAGGAACGGCTCCTGGCAGACCTCGAGTGGAAGGGACACATGGATGAATCGAACATACACCGGAATGAGAGGGATCTAGAGACTGTATAGGTATGAGACTATACAGTTGAAAGATAGATTAAAGGGATTGATTTGGCTACTCATATCACCAAATGCATTTGCTTTTCGGTAGCCTAACTCATAAGAACTCCATGGTTAAGCGCACATTGGAAAGCCTCGTGGTGATGTGTGGGGGCAGTCAATACTCTCTGTAAGTTGCCGGATGAATCGAACATACACCGAAATGAGAGGGATCTAGAGACTGTACAGGTATGGGACTATACAGTTGAATGATAGCTTAAAGAGATTGATTTGGCTACTCATATCACCAAATGCATTCCCACTAAACCTTGGGGTTCCCCATTCAGCCAGGACTTTTAGAAAGGACATGCTGGTCCTTCCTAAAATAATTGTTGAGAATCAATATAAGTAAATCTAACCTGGGTTTTAAAATCATTGAGTAATTTTATCTTCTCTTTGACATCAGCCAAGGTCGAAAGAATGTTTTGAGCTTTGGCCCGATTGTCCCAGAAAGAGATATCTGCTGCTTGCTCCTCCAAATTGGCAAGTTCTTGCTCCAATAGTTGTAGACCAGAAGACTCTCTAATCTCTTCAACACGTTGCAACATAATTTCAACATCCCTCCTCAGGGAGTAAAAATCTGCAAAAATAACACCAAGTTATGTGCTACTTTATGGCAGCAACAAATCCATAATTGTTAGCAAGTTTCCTCTGATTAAACCATTCATGAACTATTATGAATTATATGATTATGATCATGAAACAGCAAGAGGGAAAGAAGAAAATTTCAAGCGCCTTATATCTAAAGAAGTTCACAGGATAATATGCAAATCTACTTATTTAGTTACAAACTATATCTTAGATTGCATCAATTTGGAAAATTGAAAATAATAAACATCCAAGGTTCAAAAGTGGTCTTTTTGTGTTGGCATTCCTTTAATTAAAAGGCTTCCGACTCCCAGTAATTGAATACTAAAAATCCAAGGAACCCCTTCCACTCAACTACAAGTTAATAGAACAAAACAATTGAACTTGTCACACAGGGGGCTTGGTTTATAATTGGAAAGAGATAAATGCCGAAGCCATGTTAGCCGTACTATAAACACTGAGTGTGTTTATCCAATATGCACATACAGAAATGAAACCACATCAAATTTTCATTTAGTTAAAGCAATAGTTTATAGCTTCTAGAGGAACGCTACATGGCCATTGACGTGAAAAAAAATACGCTATAGTAACATCATGTCACCTCAAATCCAATGCTCGGTTTGCAAAATTTATTTTGAATGAGATTGATTTTGGTCGTGAAGATTAATTCTCAATTGATGTGATTTACGTTTGAATGTTTTAATTTAAAGACAATATAGTAGTACAGCTCAAGACAAAAATTTTATCCAACACAACAGCTGACCGAACATTTTCCAACTCAAAATCAATTCTGGATGCATCAATTTGTTGACGTTAAACCAAACATAGACATTTTGATTGATTTTTCGAAGGGATCCATTAGGGAGATTCAACAACAATAAAGTCACGTCTACATACACTTTAAATCCAAAACCTTAACACATCCCCTTCAACCCAAACTTTAGACCTGTTTTATCAAACAACAAGACACGCTTATGTGAAACCTCTGTCAAGACTTTTGATACAAGAAATCATAAGATTCTTCTCCTATTTGATTCTCATGTGAGCCGGTCATCATGTTCAGTTGTTCATCTTTACCTCAACATCGACTTAGCCTCGTACTTGAATTCCCAATTCATTTGCCTATAACAATTGCCTATAACATTTATGTGAAATCACGATAACTAATAAAGTTAACAGCCAGATTAGCACTTCTAGAAAAATATATGGCAGATGTTATCTTAGAGAAATTATGCGAGAGTTTTTACAAATTAGTTTATACATAAGTTAATTTAAACTTTTGAATTCAAAACACTTACTAAAAGGTTAAACTAAAATAAGATAAAA